TTTCAATGGCATGTTGCTTCCCCAACCATCCCTTTCTATAGTTGATTGTGTAACCCCCATCCTGGACTTGATGTGGGCTATGATGGTTGAGATGGGTGTGGATGGATCAACCTCAATAATTTCATGAATGGTTTGAGAAATCATTTGTGATCCCAATTTATTATAATCTTGTGAGATGAGTGGGGAAACACATGTGTGGGGGCCTTCAAGGGTCATGATTTTCTAGTGTTGCTCTCTTGTGCGAATTATAGCATGACATCTTTGAGCATAATCGTGATGAACGCATTTCATGACAAGCCTAGTTGTGCTTGACAACTTAACCTTGTAAGTGTAGTGATTCACAATGTGAAATTTGTTTATAGCGTCTTGCACTTGTTCTTTTATCTGGAAGCGTTGGCCAACAAAGAGTGTTCCAGGTGGATACACAATCATTTCAAGTTCAAGGACATGACTATACTTAGGGTTATCTTGTTGGAATTGATTGGGGAAGTCTAAAAAATGTGTAGGTGGGTTGTACTTAGGGTTATCTTGCTAAAAGGATCAAAGATATTTTCTGTTGGGAGACCAACAACAACATGTTCTTCAATGGTGTTTTGTACATTTGGTTGAAAGGGAGAGGATATAGCTTGTTCAAATGGCTAGGAGGGTATTTCATTAAGGTCCATGAATGAACTAGATAAAAGTTGTGTGTATGACTAAATGTCGTATTCGAAGGGGATATCATATGAAGGACCAGATGGGTTTGTGTTTTGGTAAGTTTGATAAATTTCATAAGGTGAAGGTGAAGGTGAAAGTTGTGGTGGATGTGATTCATTTGTGGTAAAGGTAGCATATAATTCAATACCTGATTGGAGTTGATTAGAATCGTGAACATTGAAAAGTGCCTCAATGTCTTCGTCATCAGTCAACTCAACATAGGTGTAGTTACTAACCCTTAGGCCAAGTCTAATAGGGTAGCGAAAGTGTATGATAACAACCCTTTCATTATCGTATCGATGTAGCTTTGTGTGGATAACTCTCTAAACAAACCTCACAATGATGTTGTGGGGTAAAAAACTATGTTTGACCACATTCAAGCTAATCAGGTAAATGTTCATAACACAATTTCAAATTATTTATTGTTTTCTTTTGTTTTACATATTATCTTAATTAACAAAGTTATTTTTTTATAGTTTTTATGGCCCCATATCAAGACTTGCAACTCTCAATATCCATGGAAGCTTATAGAGATGTACAATGTGGACTTCATGTACTGCCATCCTTTGCTTTGCAATTGTTGAATGACATCAAACAGAGTCAAATTACAGTTTAGGCTCTTCCAAGAAGTCCCTTCTCCACCTAACAATTTGGACGATCTCCACGCAATTGACATGAGAGCAAGAAAGGATGAAAATTAGATCACAAGACATGCACAATCGATAGATGTGTGGAACAATAGATGTGAGCTGACATTAACAGCTCATTCAATGCAAGGCCCATTGTGTCACACACGAGAATACATGGAATGGTACTGCCAATTTCATCCATTTCCTATTTGTGCCACCACTACTACAAGATCCAAGTAGGAGCTATCCATAGTTATGGCCTACCACATCATTTGATACCGGTACATCTTCCACACAATCATATCACGAGACTACATCATTTCCTCCACCAAACATCACACCTGAAGCAAACATAATTGATAGAAGACATTCGTTTGCAACTACTTCAGAGGACTTTTTTACAAACTTATTTGGAGTTGATTTTACAACTCCATATTTAGCATAAAGTTACATGCAGTCTCTTTATCAACCGGATTTTGCAAATGAACCTGGTAGTTCCTCAAATGCTTTCCAACAAATAACCCTTCAAAATGACCCAAATTCAACACAACTTGATCCTAGATTCCAAGAGCAAGAACCACAACCACAACGAAGAAATTCACCATGTAACAGACGTCGCCCTCATTGTTAAACTAGCCACCATTATGGAGATAGTTAATATTTGTATGTAAAACATTGTAAAGCTTCCTTGCAAGTTATAATTTATTCAATTCAAAATTTTTAAATAGCAATCCACCTCATTCATTAGCGTAGTTCATTTTTGAAACATGTCTATATATACCGTAGCGTAGTTCACTAAGACATCAACTTAAATTTAATTAAATAAATACCTAAATATAATATTATCATATATTTAAATAAATATGTAAACATAATATTACATATAAATTTATTAAAATTATAACTTATTTTAAGTTATAACTTTTTCAAATTATAACTTATTTAAATTTTAACTTATTAAAATTTTAACTTATTCAAATTCTAACTTATTAAATTTTTAAATTATTTAAATTATAACTTATTAAAATTCTAACTTCATCAATTATACCTTATTTTATACAAATTT